TTTTTTTTTTTTTTTTTTTTTTTTTTTTTTATTGCAGTTCCTGAAAATTGAAGATCATTATCTTTGTTCTGTATAAGACTTACAGGGTGAAGAAGAGAAGGTGGTTTGGAGAAGGCAGGAGAAGTGAACAATCTAGGCCTAAAATAGCTGATTTGGAAAAATTCTCCAATTCAGCTCACTTTCCAGTTCAGCTATGTTGTCCTAGATTCTAGGACAACATAGCTGAACTGGAAAATGAGCTGAATTGGAGAATTTTTCCAAATCAGCTATTTTAGGCCTAGATTGTTCACTTCTCCTGCCTTCTCCCACCTTTTTGTGAATAACCCTGTTAATCTGAGTACTTGCTAACAACATCCGTCATCCTGGTCCTTGCAACTACTCTATTTAAATAATCAGACCCGACCTTTTTCCCTGGTCAGAGTGGTTGTTTTTTTTTTTTGTTTGTTTGTTTTTTTTTTTTTTTTTTTTTTTTTACCTTCAGTCCATCACAACTTGAGTAGTTTTCCTAATTGGAGAATTACAGTTTTGAAGAGGTGTAGCAATCAAAAGGGTAGCTGAGCAGAACGTCAAACAAGCTAAATAGCAAGAAGTGAATCATTACAAATAATCTGAAGTTCCATGACTTTTACCTCTGCTGCACGGTGCTTGTTACAGAATAATCAACAAATACCTTTTTATATTTTAATTGGGCAACACTCGCACTGGTTTTAATGATCCACCCCCTTTGTTGCATTACTTTCGCAAAAGAAAAAGAAGGCGCCTTTCCTTCGTGTGATATTGTACGATAGAGACATTTTATTAAATGCCAATCAATATGCTCACACAATACTTGATTAAACAGCATCCATAAATCACAAAGGCGAACTTTCACTTTCACTCAAGGGGGGCTGCCTTTCCAATTGAAGTGTCCAACTATACATCCGCTGTGGGTCGGATGGAGTTTAATGTTAGCGCTGAAAATAATATGTGACTGTGCTTGTATTGATTTCTGCTTATGGAACTAATAGTGGGAAATAAAAAGCAATTAATATTGTTGGTCTCCCAAGCTCCCTGTTTATTCCTAACACAGGTTACAAATGGAGATTTTCTGCTTCTTAAACTTTTTGTGATACTCATATTTCAAAGCATTGATCAGATAATGCAGAAAAATTCTTGTTTCATCTGATTGAATTGCAAAGTATGGAACGTGCTATATTCATCGTCATTTTGCGATTGTAATATGAAGGATTTATTTTCTTACATAAAAGATAAGATGATTAGTTATTTGTTTTATCTGATCACTATTAAAAAAAAAAATTAGAGAAAGGTAATTGGTAAAACGTTGCAAAGTATGGAACGTGCTATATTCATCGTCATTTTGCGATTGTAATATGAAGGATTTATTTTCTTACATAAAAGATAAGATGATTAGTTATTGTTTTATCTGATCACTATTAAAAAAAAATTAGAGAAAGGTAATTGGTAAAACTAAAAGGTGTATGTGGCAGTATTTTAAGGAAATAATGTTATGCTCTGCTGTATTAGGAATAGTGTGATTAAACTTAATTGTGAATAGATCTGAATAATAGGGGATCAAATAACACATTCTAACAGCTGAATGGAGGATGTGCTCCACTCTATCCTACTAGCAGAGGCTGTATGGTGCAGCAAAACTTGCCCTGGACTCCTCAGCTAATTTAGCTGCTGTTTCTGTCTTGTGCTTTATTCTGCATTGCTGTATAATGTATTGCAGGCATTTGTAGTCCTCTATAGTCAGTGCTATTCTGCATTGCTGTATAATGTATTGCTGAGATTTGGAGTCCCTCTACAGCTTGGAGTCAGTGGCAGAACTACCAGGGTCACAGTGGTTACAGCTGTGACTGGGCCCCGGCATTCCTCCACTGTCCTAAAATCAATTGTCTGTATTGTTTTAGAAAAAACTGTCACATGACAATAAAAGGAAAGTGTCAGTAATTCGTATCGGTGAGTACTTGAGGAAAAGTATCGGTACTCAGGCTGGAAAAAATGGTATTGTGCATCCATAAAGCTCAGTGAAATAGCCACCACTCCAAGCTTGCTCCCGTGATAGACTACAATCTCAATACAAATTAGTAAACTAAACATGAGATTGTAGTTCATCACAGGAGCGAGCTTGGAGTGGTGGTTACTTTACAACACATACAGGGACCATGGGGAACAAAAGTAGCCACGCTCCAGAAGGAAGGACAATGTCGAAACCAATTCGGAGAGGATTTGAGGATCTACAGCAAGGGGTGTTGAAATGTAATTGTTCAGGAACTAAAGTGAGGGCCCAATCTACTTGTCCTGATAAAAAATAGTTTTATCCAAAACCGTATTTAAATAGTCTTTTATTGATGGCAACTTAGAAGGCATACCTAAAAATACTTTACTGCAGTCAACAAACACAAGTAGATAGTGACCTTAAACAGAACATAACCATTACATAATCATTATGTGACAGTCCTATGTGTGAGGCAACTACAAGTGTCAGCAGTCTCTGTCCATTATCTCATAGTCGTGTGTGTGGCACTACAAGTGTCGGCACTCCCTGTCCGTTGTATGGCAGCCCTGGTGTCCTGTGTGTGAAGGCACTACAAGTGTCGGCAGTTCCTGTCCATTAAACTCCGTCCCGGATACACACAGCTACACACCGGGACTTACTGGAGCCGCCAAGACCAGAGGCAAAGGCGAGGAGGAAGGTGCAGAGTCCTCCAAGGGCGGCCGGCTGAATTGCCGTGCCGAACAGGTTGTGTGCAGCCCGAGCGCCAGTACAGGCTCATACAAAGAGGAAGGAGGGGTTAATGTCTAGGTCATATCCAGTGAGAGGATAGAGATGAAGGGGTTAGTGTATAGATGCAGTGCAGGATGAGGGAGGTGAAAGGGTTAATATACAGGTCCCAGTGCAGATAACATAAGGAGAGTAGGGGGGGGCTGAAAAGGTTACATTTATTTGAAACTTTATTTTTTCCTCTGCTGCTGCACTTTTTCACCAGGGACTAATGGGTGGATGCACTATTTTTTTGTGATCGCACCAAGCCGGAATGCGGACATTGCTGTGCCACATGTTCTGGTGCGGGCATTCGCGGGGGCGTCCCTCCCGCCCTGGAACACGCGGAGGCTTACAGTATGCAATCCAGTGCGTTCCAGCAGCTAACCGTGCTGTGATGCACTGGAATTAGCGTGTAGAGGCCCTTAAGATTTCTGACAATATTAACAGATATTAAACTTATAAAATACCCCAAAAGGCTTTCAATTATATATTTAACAGACCAAAAAGGGATCGACTAATAGAAGTTCATACCCTTTAAACATTATTTCTTTAATTTTTTTCTTGTATCTCCTGTTGCAGTTGAAATGTAGTATTCAGTATGATCATATAGTAATGGTACAGCATGAATTCTGTCAGTAGTTGGAGCACAAGCTGTGTATACACACTTACAGTATATAATATACATCTATGTTTTTATAATCTTGTTTCAGGTGTTCAACAGACTGTGGTTTCCACTGGTAAGGCCTGGAGCATTGGCCGTGCTCTCCCACATGCTGCTTAGCTTCCAGCATTCTCCAGAGGCTTTCCATATGGTATGTTTTGCAAACAGTGTTCTAGTTAAAAATCCAAAGTATATGACTATCAACTATAAACTTCCCCATTTTAAAACGGTAGTAGTAAGGGTTCCATAAACCATATATTACCTGCCATAGCACTAAATGTTTTATTGCCATTTTTATGGTTACCACAGAAGGTATATATGTTATATTGTGCACATGTTTTGTTTCTTTCCTGGTGCAATGCTTTTTTCTTTTATCCTTTTGTGTATCCTGTATCACTGTGCTCAGTCCTCCCATTTTTTTTATTTTCTTTTAAAGCAACCCTGTCGCTATATTAAACATACCAAAGCTAGTTCTACCTATCTAAGAATAGAGCATATACTTACCTCTCCTGTTGCTCTCCAACCTTCAGAAACTAAGTCAGCTGAGGAAACTGACACTTCTGGAAGTGCCGGCTCCCACACAGCTCTCACTGATTCCTCATCCTGAATGATCCTGTAATGATGTGGAGGTCAGCATAAGGAATCTGTTAGAGCTGCAAGAGACCCAGAACATTGACTCCCAGTGGACTGTGGGGGCCATTTCTTAGGATCAGAGTGGTGTTCATTTGCATGGGCAGCAGGAGAGGCATACACTTTACTTTTACTAGAATAGATTGCTTTGCCATGTTTAATATACAGTGTGGCAAATAAGTATTTGAACCCCCTACCAACTCTGGAAGTGCCGGCTCCCACACAGCTCTCACTGATTCCTCATCCTGAATGATCCTGTAATGATGTGGAGGTCAGCATAAGGAATCTGTTAGAGCTGCAAGAGACCCAGAACATTGACTCCCAGTGGACTGTGGGGGCCATTTCTTAGGATCAGAGTGGTGTTCATTTGCATGGGCAGCAGGAGAGGCATACACTTTACTTTTACTAGAATAGATTGCTTTGCCATGTTTAATATACAGTGTGGCAAATAAGTATTTGAACCCCTACCAACCAACAATTCTGGCTCCCACAGACTGGTTATGTGGTACACAGATTAGTCCTGTCAATTTAAGAAGGTGCTCCTAACGACAACTCGTTATGTATATAAAAGACACCTCTCCATTCAAACCTCACCACCATGGGCAAGGCAAAAGAGTTGTCAAAGGACGTTAGGGACAAGATTGTAGATCTGCACAAGGCTGGAATGGGCTACAAGACTATCAGCAAGAAGCTTGGTGAGAAGGAAACAACTGTTGGAGCGATTATTTGCAAATGGAAGGAATACAAAATAACCATCAATCGCCCTCTGTCTCAGGCTCCATGGAAGATTTCGCCTCATGGGGTAAGGATGATCATGAGAAAAGTGAGGGATCAGCCCAGAACTACACGGGAGGAGCCTGTGAATGATCTCAGGCTGGGACCACAGTCACCAAACAAACCATTGGGTAACGCAATACACCGCCATGGATTGAGATTCTGCAGCGCCCGCAAGGTCCCCCTCAAGATGGCACATGTACAGGCCCGTCTGAAGTTTGCTAATGAACATCTAAATGATTCAGAGAAGGATTGGAAGAAAGTGCTGCGGTCGGGCGAGATCAAAATTGAGCTCTTTGGCATTAACTCGGCATTAACTCGACTCGCTATGTCTGGAGGAAGAAAAATGCTGACTATGACCCTAAGAACACCATCCCTACAGTCAAACATGGTGGTGGAAACATTATGCTTTGGGGTTGTTTCTCTGCTAAAGGTACAGGCAGACTTTCCCGCACTGGGGGGCCAATGGACGGGGCCTTGTATTGTAAAATCTTGGATAAGTAACTCTTTCCCTCAGCCAGAACACTGAAGATGGGTCGTGGATGGTTCTTTCAGCATGACAATGACCCAAAACATACCGCCAAGGCAACAAAGCAGTAGCTCAAGAAGAAGCACATTAAGGTCATGGAGTGGCCTAGCCAGTCTCCAAACCTTAATCCTATAGAACATTTATGAAGGAAGCTGAAACTTCGAGTTGCCAAGCGACAGCCAAGATACCTTAAGGATTTAGAGAAGATCTGTGCAAACCTGGTAACCAACTACAAGAAACGTCTTACCTCCTGTGCTTACCAACAAGGGTTTCTCCATGTACCAAGTCATGTTTTGCTTGGGGATCAAATACTTATTTTAGTCACTGAACTGCAACTCAATTTATAATATTTGTGTCATGTGTTTTTTCTGGATTTTGGTTGATATTCTGTCTCGATCATTTAAAATGCTCCTATGATAAAAATTATGGACCTTTCATTTCTTTGTAAGTGGGCAAACTTACAAAATCTGCAGGGGATCAAATAATTTACACACTAGTAACAGGGTCACTTTCAACATATTGTGGATTACCATTTCGTTATGTCTAACAAGGTATCCTGTTCTACGTTGACAACATGTTAGGCAACATGCCAGAAGGTGGAGCCCTAGTCTCCTTTTTATATGTTTCCAGGTTATCCTTAACTGCTTCATTGAGAAAAGCCTGTTTACAAACCTTAGTAGCTTGAGTTTACTTGAGTTGTTTCAGTTTACACATACAGTATGACATAATGAACAAGAGTGACTGATCCCTCCCCCATCCTCCCTCAGGATGGGCATGCGCTTTGGAGGCTTTGGAGTTTCAATTGAAAACAGAGTCTGAAAGTAAACAGATTCTGCTGTTTTATGTGTAGAAAACGCCTAATGCTCCCCAAAAAAAGGATAGCCTATTAAGTGAACAGATTTGAATTATGTAAATGTATTCTATCCAACCCCGAAGCTTGGGCCAAAGGAATCTTCATCAAAAGAACACTGTCATATGCCAAATCATTAACTTTCACTACTTGAGTGATGGATTTTCAGACTTGCAGGGTGCTACTATTCTCTCTATACTTCTCAGAAGGTTTGTATTTGCATGAAGTTGAAATATTCTTTATCTAAACGATCGATGGAGATGTTTTCATAAACTGACATGGAAATTCAGCAATATCTTCTTCCTCTCCTATTTCATAACTGGATTTTAGCCTGCCTTAATAGACTCCTTCTCTGCACCTACTTTCCTAATACCAATGAGGTTGTGCTGGGAGGTGAAGAAGTTCTAGACCTGCTAGCAAGGTGGGATTAGAAAGTAGAGGTGAAAACTCCTTCAAGTAAAACATTTCAGTTAGGTTTCTCATAAATCCAGGAGTTTGTACTCTTTTATATTCACATGTTACATGTCAAATTCATGCACAGTAAAATGAATGTCAACAATTATGTGTTAATATTACTAAATAAGTATGCGGCTAATGTATAAAACGTCTGCCCTTTTCTGCTCCACAAATATCGCTCGCATGGGATCATGGCCACTAGATGAAGCAGTGGAGCATAGGAATTTACTATGCTCTTCGGCTCCATCTAGTGGAAATAATGCTATGCAAACAGAATTCATTAATTCCGCTATACACTGGGCGGACGATTTATACATTAGCCCCTCCATGTTAAGTGTGTAGCTGCTCATTGGTAAGCATATCTTTCAAATCCATTCAATTAGTGTAAAGGTGCCTATACACCTTCCGATTATCGTACAAAACTTTTCATCCAATGATCGAACCATCGTACTATTGTCATACGGCGGCCCCTTCCTGCCCCAATTATCGCAAGGTTCAATCGGCGGTAGTTTTAAAAAAAACACCTGGCTAAATTGCGGTAATCGACCGCACGTATTTTCGTTTGCGCACGAGCAGTGTTAATTGTACGACTTGACGTACGGAAACGCCACCAACCATGCGAAAATCGTACGATCGACTGAAGTTTTTCAAACATGCGGGAAAGACAAAAGACGTACGATTGTACAGTACTGGCGGTTACACACTCCCCATACAACATACAATTGTCGTATGAAAAATCGATTGCGTACAATAATGGTAAGGTGTATGGGCATCTTTACACAAAGTTCATCAAGATTTCTTCTGAAGTGGTTGAATGCTCTTCGATTTATTAAGGGAGAAGACCATTCCCCTATCTGCACTTCTCAAACTACAAGAGAGCGGCTCCATCCCCTTTTTAAATTCCAGTTGATAAGTAGTGCAGGGTTGCCAGTAAGGGATTGCAATCATTCATAGTTGCAAGTAAAATCTCCACCACCTGCTGTATCATAATGGTGGAGGTTTTCCTGAGGATTACCCCATATCATCGTCTGAGGATGGGTTCTGTTATCCACCAGAAATTTGCTGACTGAATGCAGAGGGGGGAGTTTATTTGCAGAGCTATGTGGATAAAGTGAGAGTTGATTCCTGGACCCCTTTACTATATATGCCCATTTAATTGGCAAAGTGTAGTTTATTCCTTTTGAACCATGGTAGCCAAGTGTAGGGTTATTTTAGTTTGATGCTGCATATATATGTATATTTAATTTATATTTGTGTTTTTTTTTTCTTTCAGGTTGTGCCACATGTTGTCAACCTGGTTCAATCTTTTAAAAGTGATGGCCTCCCTTCCAGTTTAGCGTTCCTTGTCCAGTTTTCTGAACTGATGCACTGCATGATCTATCATTATTCTGGATTTCCAGACCTTTATGAACCTATCTTGGAAGCTCTTAAGGTAAAAGCTATTCATATAGATCAACAACCCAGAACTCTATATATATTTTATGCACACAGAAGAAATCTGGGAATTTCTAAACTTTACCTTGCAGTGCAGGTACCCCTTAGGGCAAGGCTTAAGTGCTCATTTTTCTCTGGGCGATGGAATAAAGCAGATGCACTCACCTGATCCTCGATCCTGCCAGGCTGCTCGACCAGGCTCTTCTTCCCTGGGCTCCAGTGGTCTAAGGACCAATGACATCATCATGTCTAATGCAGGTCCATTTACTTGCGGTAGATGTAAGGACGCCAAGGGCCATTCCACAGCCAGAAGAGAGTTGGGACGAGGTGAGTGCAGTTAACTGCGGGACTAAGGATCACGTGAGTATATATCTGCTTTATTCCATCCTCTAGAGAAAAATGAGCACTTAACCCTTGCTTTGTGGGGGTAGCCCCACTGCAAGGGAAAGTTTTTAAAATGCCCAGAGTAATAAGGATCACCTTGGAACCTTCTGTTCTTTTTTCACTTTGAGCAGTGTTTCCTCAAGGACCACGAATAGGCCATGTCTTCCACATCTCTACAGGTGAATTGGGTGGAATTATTAGAGTGTTTCTCCTTTTTTATTGTAATAAACACAAATGTGTGAGTTCCTGAAAGTCTGAAAAACATAACCAGTTAGTTGTCCCTAAAAACAGGTGTAGGTTTAAGAAACACTACCTTTCTCACGGGAGCAGTTGAAATTTTGAATATATTTTTTTAGACAGGGGGAATGTATCAAAACTGGAGCAGATTTGCACTGCAGCCAATCAGTTTGTCTCTCATTTTTAAATGTTACCTGAGCCAGCTGACTAGAGAAGCCGAGTGGTTGCCATGAGCAACTGCTCCAGATTCTGTCTGCTCCAGTTTTTATAAATCCACCATAATGTATCAGTCTACTGTGCTTGTGCCTAACTAGTATGGAAATAGTGGTGTGCAGCATGTTGAACCACTCCGATCTGGGACTGAAGAAAGATGTAAGAAAAGGAGAGCTACAACAGAATGTTGAAGTCTAAAAGTACTTTTGTAAGGGCTAGAATTTTAATTTAAATAATAAACAGACAAACTAACATTCACATTAATGATAATTCTTACACCGTACACTTATGAAGGGGGCAAGTTAGAGCCCCCGAAACGTGTCGGACAAACATACAGACCTTGCTTTAATCCCCATTGGGAAAAAAATACCTTTGAAATTTAACATGGTGCAACTCTCCTTTTCTTACCTCTTCTGTCACATCCTTTTATTACAGGTTCCTTTTTATGACCGTAAATAATATGCAAAGCATGATAACCATTCATAACTAGTCAGGGATATTTTTTTTTACACTGGCTTCAATATCCTGCCAGAAGTTTAATTGGTTGATATGTAGAAAACTGCATCTCATTCCTCTTGGCATCATTAGTAAATAAATGCATTCATTACAACACAGACCATTGGTTTCATATAAAAAAAGAATTGATATAATGGATAGTTGTATTCAATACTAATTGGGAACATTGCTGTATAATGTAAAACGTGTGCCAAAACACAATGTTTAAAAAAAAAAAAAAGAAAAAACAACCCCAAATTTTCTAAGTAGGCATAAAAGTAGATTTTAACCTCATTTATGGGCCACAAAACATGAGTAATTTAGACACCCAGTATATGGAAAAGCAAAGCAGGAGACTGCCATTAGAAAAAACAAAAAAAATAGTACAAAACGTGCAGCAACCTTAAAATACCTCATTGTGTGAGCTATACACACTGGAACAATGGTAAGCCCATACTATGCATGTAACACTGTACATTGTGAAAGGGCCCTACACACAAAGCTGAAAAGTGCTATCGAATGCACAGAACGTGAGACTAACCGTTTGTGTTTCAGGGATTGACCCCTTGCCAAATGTACCATTGTTCTAGTGTGTACAGCTACATTTAGCAGATGATATGTATTTCTAAAATGATGGCGTTGTATGTTTCCACCTTAAAGGCATAGTCCAGCTTTTATAAAATAAAGAATTAAAAATAAAGATGTGCACACATACGTGTTTATTAAAATTTCAACTGCAATTACGGCCCTGCGTTCCACTTTTTAACCTCGGCTGGCCAGACAATTTTTTTGCTATTTTTCACTTGCAGCTTTCATGGTTAGTAAACCTTAAACACCTCAATAATAATAATTAAAAGGCAGCAAAGGTGTTGATTGGCCAAAGCAGTCACAATAAAAGTATAGTTTCCTAACTGACCCGCATCTTTCCCTATGCAGTTTGTCAGCTTTCCCTATAACAGCTTCCAATTCACGTGCCCCTCTTTTTTTGAGTGAATGTGACTACCAGTTTGCGCCATAACGTATGCCTGCTGGGGTGAATGGGCCCTTATGTGTTTACTTTATATGTTTGTGGAGGGGAGGGTGTTTTACGTCTAGGTTTATGTGCGTTAACCTGCGTTCCATTAGGGTTACCCATTCATTTGAATGGGCTGTCCAGCACACAGAAATCACATCAAGGTGCATGTAGCGGTTTTTAAAACTCGGCACACCATAATGCATGGTAATTTACCAATTTACCGCAACACACGGATGTGAACAGATAATTATTTTTTTTCCACACACTATCTTCGAGAAGTCCAAGGGCGCGAGTTGTTAAAAAATAGATCCTTGCAAAAGTTTTTTAACTCGACTGGAAGAACATTTTTTTTGTACTTGACAAACACTTTTCCCACAATATAATAATAATAATAATATTATTATTATTATTATTATTGCTCTACTAATATTTTTACTTCAACATGTAACTGAGGGGAACCAAATACCATTTATTCTTCCTTTTATTCTTGTTTTAATGTATTAACTATAGGAGAGAGATAGTGTGTGTGATAGATAGACAGGTGTGTGTGTATATAGATTATCTATATATTTTTATACATTATACACACTCTTATCTGCCTGGCATTCACCTTTTAAAGAAGAACTCCAGGGATAATTTTTTCCTAACACTTGCAATGGGATGAACTGCAATGTTCATTGCATTGCTCATTTTGGTCTAGGTACAAAAATAAGTGTTTTTACGCCCCCCAATCTTCAGGGCCGACTGGCTGCAATAATGCTCCCATTTGTCTCCGACACTGCAGCGATGGTATGCCCCTTGGCATCCTCATGTCCTATACACTGTGTATAGAACATGATGACTTGGGGACCTTAGACCGCTGCAGTGGGAGGGGAGGTGTAGTGATGCTGGAAGGACCGGTCTAAGTGCAAGCCATCTTGGAGGATTGGGTGAGTATATCTTTATTTTTGCACCTAGAACAAAAAAGCACTTAACCCTTGCAGTGCAGGGGTAGCCCCACTGCAAGGGTTAAGAATAAATGTCCCTGGAGTTCTGCTTTAAATATTCACATTAAACCTGTCGGCATGTAATGCTAACACATGGAAAGATCACGTTTTGGATAAAAGTTTTGTATTCATGTCAGTATTTGAATGCAAGTCATTGGCTTTGAGATCAGGACAGTCAGATTTAGGAAACAAGGAAAGAAAGACTTTGGAACAAAATTCTTTTTCTCTCTTGGAATTTTCGTTGGCGTTCAAAGTTAATACAGAATGTCATCCCTATAGGCTAAGTTCTTATGGGGAATTCCATGATTTGCGGAAGCGTCTGCTGAATTGAGATACACAGATCTGTTGACTGCATGTGTTTCTTTTATTCTTCTTGTACATACAGGACCTGCCAAAGCCCTCTGAAGAGAAAGTCAAACTCATATTAAACCAAAGTGCCTGGACATCGCAATCCAATGCTTTGGCATCATGTTTACCCAGGCTATCAGGGAAGTCTGAAACTGGAAAAACCGGTCTCATTAATCTAGGGAATACCTGTTACATGAACAGTGTTCTACAAGCACTTTTTATGGCTACAGAGTAAGTTCAATCAAGTTTGTTTTACATATTACATATAGATAGATAGATAGATACATAGATGTCTGTGAAATGACGCTCGCCTGCCCCTAAAAAGGCTTCCAATTGCTCCTGAGACAAAGGGTCAAGGGGGCATGAGGTCTAAACCTGCATTACCACAGCTGCATGGTAGTGTGTTTTATAGACCAGCTCTCCAAAACTTTTCTTAATCTGACTTTACAATACAGACATCAGTAGAACGGGTTCAATGTTTCAGGGTTGTGCGGGGTCCTCTTTGAAAGGCAGACTATCTGGGTCCTGAAAAGTTAAAGCGTATCTAAACCCAAAAGCAAAAACTGAATATCGTGCAGCTTACCCATTCTTAAATGTGGTGGCTGCATTAAGGGAAAAAGTAGAAAATAATAGGGTTTCTGGAGGGGTGTAATTGACCATCCAAGAGATATTACTAAAAATATATATCACATTTTATAAAATCACATTATAAAATGTGATATTTTTAGTAATATCTCTTGGATGGTCAATTACACCCCTCCAGAAACCCTATTATTTTCTACTTTTTCCCTTAATGCACCTACCATAGGGGGAGAGGTGTTAATTAGGCGCCCACAGGGAAGCAACCCGCGATCTATACAATTAAAACGTGGTGGCTGCACTAGTTTTCTTTTTATTAGGATTTGGTTCCTTTTTATTTTTAGCAAAGGAAGAAAAGCTTTAAAAGATAACAAAGCAGGGGTCAGTTTCTTGTGATGATAAATCTGAACTACCGTACACAATCAAAAACAAGGGCCATTTATAATATTTTTTTTATTAAAGCACAATTTCAGTTTAGACACAAATGGGGGAATGTATCAAAACTGAAGCAGACAGAATCTGGAGCAGTTGCCCATGGTAACCAATAATCACCCCCACCCTAAACTGACCGTAAACAAGTCCTTTTACACGGTGCTGGTCTCTGCATCATTGCGGTTCTGCCCAGCGCCAAAGGAAGAAAAGGAATCGTGGCATCATCGAACCCGACCAAAGAAACCAGGAAAACCGGGACTGCACAGCAAGGAAGGATGAGTTTTTGTTGATGTAAGAGGGTATTGAAAACATTTTAAAGGGACACTGTCGACTTGCCCATGCAGGACAAACTGACATTATCTCTGAAAAGAGCTAGAAGTACCTATTATAGACCTACTATAGCTATAGACCCCTTACCAGGAATTCCTCGCCGCCCCTTCTCCTCTGCAGTCAGCACTGAAAAAACTGTTGTTGGCAAACCACTGTACCAGTTGGCTGCTACACCTGAGTACTGTCACAGGGGAGGAGGTCATCAGCTACTTCGTGTGCTATGTATTCTTGCCGGCTGCAGAAGAGAAAGAAGCAGTGAGGAAGCGCTTTTAATGTGAGTATAAGGGGATTGGGGTGCTTTGCAAAGACTGTTACATTGCCCTGAATGGGCAGGGGGACTGTGTGTCTTTGAAATGCAAAAGATCCCCTTCCCCCACCTTAATATTTAACCTCCGTGATCATACTACTAGACCAAACACAGTAGTGAGGTTCATAGCTACCAGCCCACAACCATTTCCGATCTCCCACTTGCAGAAAAACTTTACTTCCGAGACGTTTTTCAACCCAGTATGCTTACACATTTTTAAAGTATATGGATAGCCAAAACTTTCTTTTATGATGTGTTTTTTGTTTTTGTTTTTTTATTACTTTGGATAGATTACTGAAGGGATAAAACTAGGGATGCACCCATATCAATACCGAGTATTTGGGCGAGTACTCGTACTTGCCCAAATGTTCCAATACCAAAACTTCTGGTCAGTGGAAGAGTTCCCAGGACAGGCAGTGCCATAGGGGAAAATGGAGTCCGCTTCCCGGGCAATCAAGAAGCTCGGCGGCGAGTAATGACCCACCTTCCGGTTTCCTGATTGTCTGGGAAGCCAGCTCCTTGTTGATTGGGTGGGAAGACGGCTTTCCAGCAAATCAGCATGGAGCTGGCTTCCCGGACAATAAGGGAGTGGCCATTATTCGCTGCCGAGCTTCCTGATTGCCCGGAAAGCCGGCTCGATGCTGATTGGCTGGGAAGCTGGTTTCCCGGCCAAACATGGAGCCGTCTTCCCCAGGAATCCAGGCAGCATGTCATTACCCGCTGCCCGGCTTCCTGATTGCCTGAGAAGCCGGCTACACGCCAGCGGAAGCACCTGTATTGGTACTCGGTATCAGCGAGTACCGTGAGCAAAATATCAGCACTCGTACTCGATACCAAAGAGAAAAACCGGTATCAGTGCATCCCCTAGTTAAAACCCCTACCAGTTTATTATTTGCTGTTTGTGCACCATTGGGGAAAGTTCCTTCTCTTTCTGTCCCAGAGATGCAACAGGAAATCTGCCACAGTGAAGGAAGTTCCCATGGGAAGATTTTCCTCCTACCTTTTTGGATTTCTCTTCACTTTGTTTCAATGACAGTAGTCATCAGAACAAACAGAGGGGTGGATCTCCCTAATGGGGACGCCATCCAAAGCTTAAAAAAAATGTTTTGCCTAGAGATACTGTCATTTTAATGAAAGGTTGTAGGAACTGAATGTACTGTATCAATATTATTACGTGTGTTTAGTAATCTAAATCTGTATTCAGTTTCAGGAGGCACGTGTTGTCACTGAATATGAATGGGTGCAATTCACTAATGAAAAAGCTGCAGCATCTCTTTGCTTTCTTGGCACACACTCAGGTACTTTTTATTCTTGACCATTACCTTTTATCCGTTGCGGCCAAGAAATTCAAATCTAACTATTTCTCTTTGTGCAGAGGGAAGCTTATGCTCCTCAGATTTTCTTCGAGGCTTCTAGACCACCTTGGTTTACACCACGATCCCAGCAGGACTGCTCGGAGTACCTCCGCTTTCTTTTGGACAGGTAAATTCGTTTTCGAATAGTTTTTACTTTTAAAGAACTTTTGGCAAGATAATACTTCTATAATTTTTGTTTTCCAGTGGCTAAAAAATAGCCACCTGGCCCGGTAATTAGGGCAGGGGTCCTCAAACTTTTTAAACGGGGCCAGTTCACTGTTCCTCAGACATTGTTGGCTCCAGGGTGATTGAAGAAAGGGGGGGGGGGCGTGGCTGCAGTGCCATTGACTGCAATGCCACGCCCCCTCCCAGAACTCTCGTCTAGGCTTCCTGATTGGTTAGGAAGCCAGGCTGCCTACCAACAAGTGAAGCTTGCTTCCTAGCCATCAAGAAGCCAGGCGGCACGTCATGACCCGACTCGCGGCCTGCAGATTGGCTAGGAAACTGGTTTCATTTGTTCTAGGCAGCTTGGCTTCGTGACTTGTCAGGAGGCAGCTCATTACATGCCACCCGGCTTCCTGATTGGTTAGGAAGCCAGGCTGCTTAGGAACACGTGAAGCCGGTTTCCTAGCCAATCTGGAAGCGGGTCATAACCCACTGCCCGGCTCCCTTATGGAAAGGAAGCCGGCTCCATGCTCCCTCGGCACTGCTGAACAGAGGGAGAACTCCCTCTGACCGGAACTTCCGGTATGGGGGGTAAGTATCGGAGCATTTAAACGAGTACTTGCTCACATACTTGGTATCGGCACCGATAACGATACTATCGGTATCTGTGCATCCCTAGTGTAAATCCATTTTATTGATAGTTGTCATTCAAACGACAAGCGTATTTCTGAGCCTGATGAAGGGGACCCTGCGCGGCCCCAAACACGCATGTCGTTTGACAACTAGCAATAAAATGGACTTTGCACTAACATGGAGTCTGCACATCTGTTTTGAAAGATATGTACTATTGTAAATAACATATGCCCCCCACAAAACATATCACAGGTTGCCTGTTGCATTTCTTTATGGGTGCATGTTTTATGTACAATAGTACCCACCCTTCAATTGATATTTATAAAAAAATAAATAAATTAAATTCCTGTTTAGAAGGTGAGAAGGCCAGTCAGTCTGCCGGAGGATGATTTCTCCCTTGCTCCCTCTCTGATGTATCTTCCTCTCACTATCAGAAGAAAAACAGAGGGAGGGAGTCAAGACGGCGCCCACTGCCAGGAGTGAACCTGGTTAGGACCCTGGCGGGCCGTAGTTTGAGGACCCCTGTAATAGAGAATTGCATATGTCACATGTTTTTAAAAAAAACATTATCTGCACAGCCTGCTCCGTGCGTGTGCGTGTGACTGAGCCCTCTCTGACTCTCGCATACAGTGAAGGGATCTTGTCCACTCACAACACGCTTTGTGTTCTCTTAACAGAATAGAAGGCTTTTTGTGAATGTACATGAGTAGAGGAAATGGATGGTGCACAACAGGGAATCCCTTCACAGTATGAGAACCAGAACTCTGCTTCAGCACTGGAAGAAGAGCATTGTGTGTACTAGTACTTTATTGATGTCTGTAATTGGTGATAATGGCATATTATAACATTTTTGGGGTCTTTTTAGGCTACATGAAGAAGAGAAGTCATTCAGAGTTCTGTCCTCAAAGCCTGCTGCTGATCCAATGGTTACTGATGGTAGCGTACAGTCATCAGCATCTGGAGAGACAGACGTCTTTCCTCAAGTGCAGAATGCATGGTGGGGTTGTGAAGAGAAAACGCTAATAGAGGGCATGTTTGGAGGGAAACTACAGACTAGCATTTGCTGCCTGAACTGCAGAAGCACTTCTCAGAAGATGGAAGCCTTCACTGACCTTTCTCTGGCCTTTTGTCCATCTGATAAACCTGTGCAAAGCATGATCTGCTCCCCAAAGGAGAAAGATGATGATTGCATAGAGATAGATGTTGCCCCATCTAGTGACGCTCAGAGTGTTTTTCTTCATTCAGCACAAGAAGGTAATGTAGAGTCCACTGAACTAAAGTTTACCGTCAGCGATCTTCAGTCCAGTAGTAACACCTCGGTGGATGCATCAGCATATAACAACACATTGCAGCCTGACGGTGACATGTGTCAAAAGGCTGATAAGGATGAAGCGCTTTCTGTTACGGACTTGTTGAGCTATTTCCTAGCACCAGAGATACTTGATGGGGAAAATCGATATCATTGTGAAAAATGTACTTCCCTCCAGAATGCCGAGAAGACTATGCATATAATAGAAGAACCAGAATACCTCATTTTAACTCTATTAAGGTTTTCATATGATCCTAAATGTCACGTGAGACGCAAAATCCTGGATAATGTGTCCATTCCACTGGCACTTGAATTGCCAGTTGAAAGATCTACCTCGGTAGCTTGTTCTGGAGATGGAAGTCTAGATGCAGATGTTCCTGATGTTAGTGAGAACCTGGCTAAAAAGCTGAAGCCATCTGGTATTGAAGATCTATGCTGCACACAGCTTGTCCCTTATGTTCTAAGCTCCATTGTGGTCCATTCTGGTACCTCTTCAGAAAGCGGCCATTACTACTCATATGCAAGGAATGTCACCAGTGCATCACGATATCTTTGCCATGAGAAACCTTACCAAGGTCATTTAGTGAGCAAAGAGACCTGTAACTCAGTTGCTGGAAATGACACTGCGTGTAATGACATGTCTAAAGAATGGTTTTTGTTTAATGACAGCCGAGTGACATTTACTTCATTTCAGTCTGTTTTAAATATCACCAACCGTTTTCCAAAGGACACAGCTTATGTGCTGTTATATAAAAAGCACAGTTGTGCTGATGCGAGTAATGTGCATCCTAGTTCAGTAAATGGACTTTGGGTAAATGGGGAACCACCTCTTCAGAAGGAGCTGCTGGATGCCATTACAAAGGACAATAAGCTCTACTTACAGGTACAACTACATCTAGTCTACTAGTTGTTGTTTTCTAATCCCATGCTCACTCAGCAATTCAAAGGCACACTTCCAAAACCTGTTACATGTCACTAAAAGTGTATCTAAAGCCAAAGCTTTTTTAAGTTTTGGATAGACTGGAGCAGGGTTAGAACCACTGTCAGATGTTTTTCCCCCCTCTGTTTCTACTCTGAGAACATGCACCTTTTTTATGTTTGTCCTGAGAACCAATGCCATTAGGACTGAAGTGAGGAAAATCCAGTTTAGGCTTAAAGGAGATCTGTGAGGTGAGTGATTTCCACTCATCCTCATAGTTAGAGCCGACCTGTGACAATGAAGCTGTCACAGGTCGGCTCTATCGATCGGGAAGTGAGCAGAAACATGCAGCCGATCCGCTCACTTCTCGATCATCTCCCTGCAGAGAGCAGTGTCAGTCACAGCACCCTGCAGGGCGGTCTCAGTATACCGCAAGCTGTAGCTCGCGATATACTGAGCTTTGGGTCACGGGAGGACGTTAGTATATGTCCTTCCGTGACCCTAAGGAGAACTATGGGGAAACACACTTACCCTATAGTTCTCTTTTAAATATATACTTTTAGTCTGGCTGTATTTTAGATTGATGTAGATAGAGCTGCAGCTAACTATTATTTCCAAAATCGATTAGTTAGCCGATTTTTATTAAGTTCGATTAATCGGATATAAAATAAAATACATTTTAAAAAATGGCTCCAGTGATGGAGTTTGTACTAGTTTGTATTGATGGTGGAAGTAAAAAAAAGAAAACAAAAGTGTGATGTGCAATATAGTGAAATGGAAAGTGTAAAATTATACAGCAATGAATGCAGAATGGCACCGGCTATAGAGGACTACAAATCCCAGCAATACATTATACAGCGCAATGCAGAATACCACCAGCTATAGAGGAACAACAAATCCCAGCAATAGTACATTATAGCTGGTGGTATTCTGCATTGCGCTGTATAATGTACTATTGCTGGGTTTTGTAGTCCTCTATAGCTGGTGGTATCCGGCATTGCACCACTGTATAATGTATTATTGCTGGGATTTGTTGTACTCCTCTATAGCTGGTGGCATTCCGCATTATGCTGTATAATGCATTATTGCTGGGATTTGTAGTCCTCTATAGCTAGTGGTATCCGGCATTGCACCACTGTATAATGTATTATTCCTGGGATTTGTTGTACTCCTCTATAGCTGGTGGCATTCCGCATTATGCTGTATAATGCATTATTGCTGGGATTTGTAGTCCTCTATAGCTAGTGGTATCCGGCATTGCACCACTGTATAATGTATTATTGCTGGGATTTGTTGTACTCCTCTATAGCTGGTGGCATTCCGCATTATGCTGTATAATGCATTATTGCTGGGATTTATAGTCCTCTATACAGCCCAATGCAGAGTACAACAAATCCCAGCAATAGTACACCATACATAGTGTTTAATTTATTGCTGGGATTTGTATTCCTATGTATAATGTATATGTTTTCAATAATCGATTATAATCGATAAGGCGATTAGTTGTTGCAGCCCTAGATGTAGATAATCTATCGTTGATGAGAGATGCAGCATTGTTCTGCTCTGCATTCATGCTTGTTCTACCTCCTACATAAGATTACCGTATCAGCCAGATTTATTTGTATAGCAAGGCCATGTAAATTATTTGCACTCATTATATAGATAAACCTGTGAAAGAGATTATCGTGATGTAAATGATCTCAATCGTGTGCTACTGTTTTTAAAATCTTTTTAAAATTTCTAATATATGTGCATGGAGGCTGTCATATTTGCTCATTGTGTAGCTCTGCTTACTGCTTCGTGACGATGGCTCCGTCAGTAGCTGATCTACAATTCTCTATTTAATGGAGTCAATATACAATAGAATAGAGTGAGATAGGATCAGAACTCTCGTCAGGTTTTTACTGCTATCTGGGGCTACGTCAGAGAGAATCTCTCATTTCCTGTCCTACTAAAAAATTTTCTCTAGACAGAAAGGGAGGGAATATCTGCAATGGGAGCACAGATGAAAATTAAAAGCTGCCAAGAGTTTTAGCATTGCCCCTACTTTACTACAGCAAAGCATTTTTATTTCAGTTTTTGTTGCTGTTGGACTTACCCATAGTTCCTGTCTGGTAAACCGTCCGGAAGAGCGGATAAATCTGTAAAAAAGCTAACCCTTTCCCAAAGAAGTTTAGGCTGGACTGACACTTTAACTGGCTCATACACAGCATCATATGCTCAACTTTCCTTTATTACCCTGCTGCTTTGTTCAGCGTCACGGTCCAAAGAAGATACCTAGTACTCACAGGTTTGTTTTTGGTCCTCGTGTGGAAGTCTGAGCCGAGTAATTTTTACCACATGCTAATGGCAGCCTTAACTGTTATATTTAATGAAGTGTTGATTTTATGAGACTGCAGAAGAGTAGTGTATTACAAAGATTTTCTCAAGGGTCATGCAGGTTGTTTGCATATATAAAGAGATGTATTCATTAATGAAGGCTCCTTTTTAATTGTATTGTGTCTGTTTACACAGGAACAGGAACTTAATGCCCGTGCCCGAGCTCTACAAGCAGCATCTGCTTCCTGCTCTTTCAGGCCCAATGGATTTGACGACAACGACCCTCCAGGAAGTTGCGGACCGAGTGGCGGGGGTGGAGATGGAGGTTTCAGCACCATCAGCAGACTTGTCTTTTAAAAAAAAAAAAAACAACAAAATATATAGTGTCCAGTATGCACTGATGACTAAACCACACTGGACATTTTGACTATGTACTCCAATCTCTTTTTCACTTCTCCAAAGTGTTGACATATCACATTTTCCTTAAAACACCAATATAATGAATAGGCAGCTTATAATTTATACTGGCGGAGATAATACATGTGATTTGATACACACCAACATTTGTTTCCCCACAATGCCTTGAACTGGCTAAGCAAAGAAAATTGTATACAGTGATGCTGTCATGTAACAACTGGTGTGATAACGCACAGATGATTTTGTTCCCCATATGTAAATTTGGCCAGAGATAGTATTATATATGGAACACATTGTTCTGTGTTTCATTTTTTCAAATGCATTGAAAGTTTTATGGTGCAACATATGCACAAAGCAATAACTGTCTTCATTGTGCTCAAGTTCGGGTAGGGGGGTTGGGGGTTGTCCACTAAAAGCTACATATAAGCATCAGAGGATGTATGTATATAATCTGTGACATCACTTTTTAAAAAGATTGCATGAAATTCTACAGTTTTTAACCAGAAAAAAAAATGCCAACTTTATAGTATTTCTAAGTTGTCTCAGAATTTTTAAAAATTCTATTTCAGGGATTACATCTGCCGTGTATAAATGAGGGAAGATTATGTATGTGCCTTGCAGTCCTGTAAATGAAAAATGAGATCCCTTTGGATTGTAGAGTGTATTATGTATTCTACATTGTCAATATTAAGAGTTGCACCTTGAACTTATTTTATTGCCAGAGGGGGAAAAAAAAAAAAGCAGCGGTTCCATAAATTCCTTTTAATGGGCTGTATTACGGGTTTTCTCGTCTTTTTCTGGGTGGTATTGCTTAGCCGAATTAAAAGGTAGCTCCAACTTAAAGGAGAACTATGAGATGAGTGATTTCCACTCGCCTCATAGTTCTAGCTGACCTGTGACAATGAGACTGTCACAGGTCGGCTCAATAGATTGGGAGGTGAGTGAACACATACCGGGTTCCCTCACCTCTCGATCCTGTCACGGCTCTCTGCCATGACAGGGGGAGGGGCTGGATTCCCCTCTCCCCGCTCCGATCTGCCAGCGCTGACTGGCGGAACGGACGGGGGAGGGGGTGGGTACAGCTGGCTCTGCCTCTAGATAGGCAGAGCCAGCTGTCACGCAGTTGGGCGGATCCTGTCATCTACGTCGGGATCCGCTCCAGGTGCGGCGTCTCAGTATACCGCGAGCTGTAGCTGGCGGTATACTGAGCTTAGGGTAACGGGAGGACGCTAGTTTGTGCCCTCCCGTTACCCTAAGGAGAACTATGGGGGAAAAACACTGACCCCATAGTTCTCCTCCTTTTAATCTAATTTGATCTACACTAGGTAAAACAATTAATTGCAGCTCACCTGTCCTTAGATGTTGTGGCTGCATCATTATTATTTGTTTTTATTTTTTTCAGACTAAGAACATTTTCTGCAAGTACAGAAAAAGATCTGTTGAAACTGCCAGAAATCCAGCATCCTTGTAACTGTCTTTGTACTGAACTCTCAAATGATGTTATTCACCTTCCCAGTTCTCTGTGTACTACAGCACTCCTCCTCCATAGGTTATGGAGATGAGGCTCAGGGACTTTCTGTGCTAGGGTGTTAACAATGCTCCCCTGTAACAGTGTGGGAAGTGAGTGCTGACACCCTAAGATAAGAAGTGAGTTAATGGCAGGACCACCAGGTAAAAAAAGAAAAAGTCTGAAAAACTAGAGTAAAGCTGGCCATACACCTATAGATTTTCTATGGGCAGATGGAAAAAAGTGCAACAGATTCCTCCATCTACGCTAAACTGTGTGGATGGAGGAATCTCCCACTGAGAGCCAGCAGGGCCGGCGAGCAAAATACTAACGCCTGGCCCAGTGAGAGATTCCTCCACCTACGCAGTTTAGTGTAGATGGCAGAATCTGTTGCACTTTTTCCATCTGACCAAAAGCTATAGTTGTATGGCCAGCTTTAGACTTACTGGTAACTCAGTTTCAAGGAGACTGCCAGGACCACATCTTAACATAACAGATCTTTAAAAGAAGGTCCCAAAAGACTTAGTTTGGGCCTACAGCCTGTAGTACTCTCAAATTCCTGTTCCACAGCAGACAAAAATTCTTTGCAATAAAGACATGAAGGTAGAATGCCGCTATGCAAATTTTCTCTGGATGTAGCCCAAGCCCTAGTGGAGTGTCCCGATTCGTCAGAAAGCACCTCTCATTGCTTTACCTGGTAGGCTTCTTGGATAGCCGTTTTAATCCATCTGGCAATGGAGCTTTTAGAAGTTGACAACACTTTCAATTTCCTGAATGCATTAGACTTCTTACATTTCTTAGTAAGGTATTGAAGTAGATGACATCTTACATCTAAGAAGTGGAATTTTAATGTTACCTTAGCTGGCTGGTTACAAAAAGTAAGTCAATTATTACTTGAGCTTGAAGAAAAACAAGAACTCTTCAGCAAAAAAAAACTGGAGAGCAAAGGCTCAGGCTGGGCACACACCTTACAACCATCGCAAGACTTTTGTCTTGCGGTGGTTGTAAGGTACTTAAAAAAAATGTACGATCTGCCTATGTTGCATAGGCAGATCGTACTTGCGATGATCGCAAACCACGCCCCCTGAGGGGCGGGCTTCCGATGACCGCAATGCCGAACGGGCAGTGTGCGCTTGCGCACACCGGCCCGTGCGGCTGTTATCGTACAGACATGCCACAAACCCGCCGAACATCATACGATGCTCGGCAGGTTTTCAAACGTCCGTAAGTTTAAAGTCGTGCGACCTTACAGTAGTAGAGGTCGCACGGCTTCCACACACCTTACGATCATCGTACGATCGCGGGATTTCCCGCGATTATCGTACGATCGTAAGGTGTGTGGGGACCCTTAGAAATGACAAGGCCTGTAACTCAATTACCTTCCTGATATCTTGATGGCTAGCAAAAAAAAAGGTGTCTTTATAGACAAATATGTCAAAGTGGTCTCAGACATGCGCAATAGGTTATTCAATAATAAACTGAACAAGGGGTAAATAATAGTGAGTAAAAGTTCATCGCAATGGCTTGTAAAGGAGATGTGATTATAATAACGGAGGGGTAAGATGCTATAGACTTTATCGAAAACAAACTCAAATCAGCAGTCTGAACTTTAATGTGATGCTATCAGAATGGCTTCACTTGTATAGTAAAGCATGTTTACTAAAAGAAAAGTGAATACACTTTCCTTTCTGGTGGCCCATGTCTTGAAATGTGCTTCTCTCTGACCTTTGCAATTCTTATACACTTTTGCATGCTGTGGTTTCTCCTGGTGGCTCACTGGCCAGCGACAGGACCCACAGCATGTGGCAGAGGAAACAGGTATTCCTACCACCCAAACAGCAAAGCAGCAGCTCAACCTACATCTGGACCTTTTTCAGAAATTTCGAAGAATAAATACATTTCAGGTTTGTTTTTTGTAAGCAAATCCCTGACTGAAGAAAAAACAGACTTTAGCCTAAATAGCTTGTGTGACTTTTTTTTTTATGACTGGCAGGTAAGGTACCGATCACTTTAGTTGAAAAGTGTTATTCTTAACAGCTTCCTTTTAAACGCCAAACAAAGTTTGAGACTTTTAACCTTTTGGTTGATGCACTAGATCCTGAAAAATCAAATTCAGTCTGGGATGAAGTATCACATGAGGGTGTGGCTGGGGCTAGAAGGATTGAAAACTAAACCCGTCTATGCTATTATAGAGAAATTAAAACCACGTTCGACTGTTCTTCCAACGGCTTACATGACACTTTGAATAAGTACGCTGAAAGGGTGGGAAAGCATAGCAAAGGATGAAGCTCCACAGCAAGGCTACAGTGTCTATGCCTATGGTTCTGTCTACTTGACTTTTCCATGTCTCTAACTGGCAAAAAGATACATCTGTGGGTCACCCCATTTCCCTATCAGGCCTAAGAAAACTTTTTGCTTCAGTACCCACTTAGATTCTTGGGTCTGGTGTCTGTTCATATAATCCACCAGATGAAGGAGTGATTAAGGAGATGAAGATGAAGGAGATGAAGGAGATGGACTGCTGGAACTGAGGTCAAGTACATCTCCACCCTATACAGGAAGGGATCTGGTACCTCCATGTCTTTTGATTTGTACGGCAACCATAGAGTTTTTCTGACAGGACCTGGGTGGTGTCTTTTGAATACACTTTCCTTTCTGGTGGCCCATGTCTTGAAATGTGCTTCTCTCTGACCTTTGCAATTCTTATACACTTTTGCATGCTGTGGTTTCTCCTGGTGGCTCACTGGCCAGCGACAGGACCCACAGCATGTGGCAGAGGAAACAGGTATTCCTACCACCCAAACAGCAAAGCAGCAGCTCAACCTACATCTGGACCTTTTTCAGAAATTTCGAAGAATAAATACATTTCAGGTTTGTTTTTTGTAAGCAAATCCCTGACTGAAGAAAAAACAGACTTTAGCCTAAATAGCTTGTGTGACTTTTTTTTTTATGACTGGCAGGTAAGGTACCGATCACTTTAGTTGAAAAGTGTTATTCTTAACAGCTTCCTTTTAAACGCCAAACAAAGTTTGAGACTTTTAACCTTTTGGTTGATGCACTAGATCCTGAAAAATCAAATTCAGTCTGGGATGAAGTATCACATGAGGGTGTGGCTGGGGCTAGAAGGATTGAAAACTAAACCCGTCTATGCTATTATAGAGAAATTAAAACCACGTTCGACTGTTCTTCCAACGGCTTACATGACACTTTGAATAAGTACGCTGAAAGGGTGGGAAAGCATAGCAAAGGATGAAGCTCCACAGCAAGGCTAAAGTGTCTATGCCTATGGTTCTGTCTACTTGACTTTTCCATGTCTCTAACTGGCAAAAAGATACATCTGTGGGTCACCCCATTTCCCTATCAGGCCTAAGAAAACTTTTTGCTTCAGTACCCACTTAGATTCTTGGGTCTGGTGTCTGTTCATATAATCCACCAGATGAAGGAGTGATCCATTGAGATGGACTGCTGGAACTGAGGTCAAGTACATCTCCACCCTATACAGGAAGGGATCTGGTACCTCCATGTCTTTTGATTTGTACGGCAACCATAGAGTTTTTCTGACAGGACCTGGGTGGTGTCTTTTTTTTTTTTTTTAAACTGGGAAGGTCCACAGCGGGCCCTTTTGCAGATGGTGAGTATCTTTCTACTAGCAGAGACTCCTCTTGAGCTGACTTGGAAAAAATACCACTTTGTCCAAGAGGGATGAAGACCAATCTCATATGTTTACAACAAAAGATTGGATAAGTGTCTTATGAAGGTGACCCCGGTGTTCGGAAAGAGGGCTTCGGGTTCATAGGGAACTGGGCTGACTTTTCGGTCAGTTACCAGCTCTACAGCAGAGATGGGCTGCATCTAAATGGGGAGGGTTCAGCACGGGCGGGGGAGAAAATGGTTAGAAGCCTGGCTGAGGCTTTTGAACTAGAATATGGGGGGAGGGAATAAAATGGGTATAATAAATAGAGAGCAAATAGCTACTGGAGCAATTGATATAGAGGGCGGTGATACAAGGGGACAGTGGGCTCACTCCAGTTAATCTAATTAGTAATGTACTAACCGTACCGATGTCAGATAAAGAAATTAATTGCACTTCAGGAATGAGCAATAATAAAAAACTCAAACCACTAGCACTAAACTAAAATGCATACACGAATGCTAGAAGTCTAGCAAGAAGAAAAGGCTCACCTTCATTCTCAAATAGAAATAGATGGGAAGCAGGGAAATGTTGTTATAATGGGTGACGTCTGTTATCGTGACATTGATTGGC